CACACCATTCAACCAATGAACCATCCTCCATCCATCCATCTGGACCCAGCCTCCCTGCTGCCCTTCCCTCCCAGCGGAGCCCCGTTCCAGCAGCAGTCGTTTCGGCTCCAAGTTGGTTCTGAACCAGAGCCAATCTGCAGCATCTCCAGCATCAGGAGGCGCTGCCTGGACCACCCTCACTCTTCATCACCATCCTCCTCATCATCACCATCATCTCCCGGAGTGTGATGCATCACAACCCAAACGCTCCTTCCTCACATCATCCTCCAGAGGAGATGAAGATGCTCCTGGCGAGGAGATCTCCTCCTCCTCCTTCTCCTCCTCCTCTCCACCGGGTCCGGGCTTACCTCTGGAGCTGCTGAAGGCGGTGTACCAGGACAGCGAGACCAGCCCGCTCAGCCCGAACAACAAGACGGTCAGGACTGAGACATTGCGGAGCCTCATCTCCGGAGCCCGGGACCATGTCCGCACCGAGCGGGGCGAGGGCCGGCGGTCCGACCGGAGACGAGCAGCGCGCTGCGGCCGGACAGGAGGCGCGGGGAGCGGCAGCAGCGGACTGGAGAGGACGGGAGGGCCGGAGCGGAGATATGAGCAGGGAGGGAGGAGACAGGAGGAGGAGGAAGAGGAGGAGGAGGGAAGAGGAGGAAGAGGAGCGGGGTCTGGTTAAATAAACACCATCAGTTCAGTTAATGGACACAGACAGCCCGCCAACACCGAGCAGTTTAAAGGAGGAACAAAGACGAACAGACATGTTGACTTTTGGTTTGGTGCTAATGAAACATCCCGTTGAACGGCGCAGCAGCGCCCCCATGTGGTGGCTACAGGAAGTAACACAGCTGGGGCGACCCCAGAAAATATTCACAGGGGGTCAAGACCAAGAAATGTCAGTATGTTATACAGTTATCGAAAAATAACTACATAAAAGGAAGTAAAGCTTTAGAGTGCTACCTTGATGTTTCCTTTTAAACTGTTTGCTTGCGATAGCCTCTCTCCGGAAAAAGAGCTTCTTAATCTCAAACGACTTTTATCTCAGTCAAATAAAGTTTACAAAAAAATACATCAAAATAAAGAAAGCAAAGTTTTTCTATCTGTTCATCTTTCCAGAGTTTCTCTCATCATTTATGGAGCTTCCTTAGAAATGTGGACGCTGACATTAGTGTTAGCTGGTACAGCATTGAGATGCTATTTTAGCATAGCTTCACTGATACGTGCGTTCTTTTGAGTATAACTTAAACACAACAATAGTCTTTTCCCGAATCCAATCAGATTGTAAAAAGCAGAAATTAACCATGAAGCCGCTTCAATCACTGCAAATGTCCATCGGATTTACGGTCGTACCAGAAACAAATGAACATGAAGGTTCTGGATGGAACATTGCTTCGTGGTTTGACTGCATTGGGTTACTCAGAGGCTTCTGTAAGGAGACAATGTTAAAGAATTTGGGCTAAAAAAACTGAACAATTGATCTTACAATGGGATAGCATAATAAACATGTCCTCCTGCTGGTCATTGGGGGCAGAGCCATTTGTAATGACAAATATTTCAAAGCCAATCTTTGAAATTGGCTTTGATTTCAAAGACATCAAAGGCATACTGATATAAGTAAATAATAGATGCTTAAACCTTGTCATTTTTGCTCTGCATGCCGCCCAGCACTGATTCGAGGAGGCATTATATTACATTCTGTTCTCCTGAACTAAGACATTAACTCAGTAAAAAAAAAATCTGGCTGATCAATGGGGAAGTTTTAATTTCTTCAAAGTTCTCACGAGCAAAACTAATCAAATTTAATTAAAAATACTGATTTAATTACATCCTCGTGTAAAACACATTAAAAAGAAACTACCAGCTGTTCCAGCTCCATTATTCAAGTTTACCCTGACCTCTAGTGGCCACCTGAAGATAGTGCAGCTCATCTAGCTGTGCAGTAAAACATCAGCTTTAGTCCCTTCATGTTTTCTGAAACTCCAACAAGTGATCCATATGCTTGCTCACCCTGACCCTTTCCACAGAACTCTGCTCTCACCTGACCAGAGGAGGTTTATCCTCCATCCAGGTGCAGCTCTGCTGACCTCAGTCCGGCTGCCGTTTTGTTTCTAGAGAGAGGAGACTTTCTGCTTCCACCGCTCATGACCTTTAACCTTTATTAAATGCTTAACATTAGCTTAGATGATGTTAAGCATCATCATGATATTTCATGAACCAACAAGTGTGTGTTGTTTTTTTAAAGAGTATGTCCTAGTGGTTAGCATTAGCTTTGGCTAGTTTCTCAATGTGTTTATCGATTTGATTTTCGCTTCTGCTAATTTTTTTTATGTGCTTAATGTAAAAGATAACTATGAAGAGCATGGTAACTGCAATGTCATGTTTTTATCTGCTTAAAGGGGAAAATTTAACCACTAGATGGCGTCATATAACACTCTTGGTTTGGCAAAAAGATAATTTATTTAAAAAGCTCAGAAACATGTGGAGAACCTCATCAGCTCTTTGCCCTCCTGATCAGATGAAGCTCCTCAGGCCCGGCCGCTGAGGAGGCCAAATATTCCTGTGGAAAACTGGAGAAAACCTCAGAACCTGGCTTTGAAGCACAGAGTTTCTAACACAAACACATGATTGCATGGCTTTGTTTGTGGGGACCTTACATTTCTATAGCCTAAACGTTACCCTTAACCTAACCCTAATATACCTAACACTAAGGTCATAAAAACAGTGTTTCCCCTTGAGTGGACCAGGTTTCGGTCCCACAAGGAGCAGTGGGTCCCCACAACGTAGCATGTGTCAGGAAAATGGTCCCAACATGGTATTACAAACACACACACACACACACACACACACACACACACACACACACACACACACACACACACACACACAGTAACAGACCTGAGAATAAAGAGAAAGGAGAAAAAAGTGTAAAAAAAAAAAGCAAAACAACATAATTTGTGGCATGATGTGAACAAAATAAAGGAAGATTTCAGGAAATATGGAGCCAAAGGTCATTATTTTCATCATAGAAGAAGAAGGGGTGGAAGATAAACACCCCAGTGTTCATCTAGACATCAGAACAGGTGAACCTTAGTGTTCATGGAAATACATTTCCAACCATGAAGAGACAAATCAGGCTGAAGAAAATTTCTTCTTCAGAAAATTAGGAACACAATGGACAACCAACCAAACCCTTGTTCCCCTCCTCATCTGTGGGGGCGCTGCACCAACAAGAGCCCCTCTGAAGAGCGCAACATCCTTCTTCACCAAATAGAAACTAAAATGGAGTTGTCAAATTTTAGCAGTCAGAGGATTTGTCTTAGTCTTTGGCTAAAGGCTATGAGCCATTTCTCCTGCTAGCGTTAGACCAGCATGTTTGTTTTACCTGTATTTACTCAGAATGCCCTGCGCTGTAGTTCATGTTTAGCGATCTCTGGTTTTCGCTGCACTTGAATCGACTCCAAATCAATTCAGACCGAGATTTGTGGTGGATCAGAGTTCAATTAGCATTCACACCACAAATGAACTGGACTTTTTAGGCTTCCGGACTGGATTCAGATTAAAGCAGACTAGAATTGGATTAAAGTGGACTGGAGTCAGGTAAAAACGGACTGGAGTCGGGTTGAAACGGACTGGAGTCGGGTTAAAACGGACTGGAGTCGGGTTAAACGGACTGGAGTCGGGTTAAAGCGGACTGGAGTCAGGTTAAAACGGACTGGAGTCGGGTTAAAGCGGACTGGAGTCGGGTTAAAGCGGACTGGAGTCGGGTTAAAACGGACTGGAGTCGGGTTAAAACGGACTGGAGTCGGGTTAAAGCGGACTGGAGTCGGGTTAAAGCGGACTGGAGTCGGGTTAAAACAGACTGGAGTCGGGTTAAAGCGGACTGGAGTCGGGTTAAAGCGGACTGGAGTCGGGTTAAAGCGGACTGGAGTCAGGTTAAAACGGACTGGAGTCGGGTTAAAGCGGACTGGAGTCCATATAAAACGGACTGGTGTCCAGTTAAAACGGACTGGGAGTCAGGTTAAAACGGACTGGAGTCAGGTTAAAGCGGACTGGAGTCAGGTTAAAGCGGACTGGAGTCAGGTTAAAGTGGACTGGAGTCGGGTTAAAACGGACTGGAGTCAGGTTAAAGCGGACTGGAGTCTGGTTAAAACGGACTGGAGTCAGGTTAAAACGGACTGCAGTCAAGTTAAAGCGGACTGGAGTCAGGTTAAAGCGGACTGGAGTCAGGTTAAAGTGGACTGGAGTCGGGTTAAAACGGACTGGAGTCAGGTTAAAGCGGACTGGAGTCGGGTTAAAACGGACTGGAGTCAGGTTAAAACGGACTGCAGTCAAGTTAAAGCGGACTGGAGTCGGGTTAAAACGGACTGGAGTCAGGTTAAACCAGACTGGAGTCGGGTTAAAGCGGACTGGAGTCAGGTTAAAGTGGACTGGAGTCAGGTTAAAATGTACTGGAGTCAGGTTAAAACAGACTGGAGTCGGGTTAAAGCGGACTGGAGTCAGGTTAAAGTGGACTGGAGTCAGGTTAAAATGGACTGGAGTCAGGTTAAAGCGGACTGGAGTCAGGTTAAAGCGGACTGGAGTCAGGTTAAAGTGGACTGGAGTCGGGTTAAAACGGACTGGAGTCAGGTTAAAGCGGACTGAACTGGGTTCGTGGGAGCAATGCAGCCTTAAACAACAACAGTGTCTTGAGTCAAAGGCATCTTGAGAATAGTTGCAATACAGACTGCTACAGGAGATCAGCATATACAGCATTTAATTTTACTTTGGGATCAATAAAAGATTTTATATTTTGATGTTCTGGAAGCTGCGGAAGAGGAGGAGAAAGAGGAGATGATGAAGCTGAGGAGGAGGAGTAAATCAGTGTCGGAGACTCAGACGCGGAAGAAGAAGCAGCTTCTGAAAAGGAAGCAGCAGCAGAATGAAAGGAGCCTCCGCGGACGGACGGACCACTTGTTGAAGCACCTCCGGCTCCCCGGGGACTCTCTGCTGCTTCTCCCGGGCTTCGACTCTTTCTTCCGGTTCTATTCCGGCTGGTTTCCCGCTGCCAGCCTCACGGCTCTGACTGGAGACGCGGGGTCCAGAGGCTCCGTTCCTCCGCAGAGCCCCGCTGTCTTCAGGTTGGTCGGATCGAGATGTCCTCTTTTATTCATCCCGGCCGCTGAGCGCCGAGTCCGGGAGGCTGCGGGCGGCGCCGCCGGCTGGCACCGCCGTCCCCGCCCGGACGGCTCCTGCTCGGCGGGGAGAGCTGCTGGGAAACAGGCGGCTGGTTGTTTCCCTCTGGATTAAAACCGCCCTGCTTTACGTTGGTGGATATTTCTTTATCTGGAGACAACAGACCCGTGATCAGCATAAGCCTGAGTTGTTAAATTTTTGAGTTCTGGACCTGGATTAGGTTCGGAAGGAGGAGGGGAGACCAGAGCGCTCCGTCCCCGGGCTGCCGCCGCGTCCGGCCCGCTGGGATGAGCTCACTACGGGGCTGAGCGTCCATTGGACCGACGACCTTTCTACCTCAGAAGTCAGTTTACTGGACACCGTGTGGTGTAAACGGTGTTTACGGACATGGCCGAGTCCAGCTGCCGGGCTGCGAGTCCGGGCTGCGAGTCGAAGAGGCGGACGCAGCAGAGCACGCTGGGCCACTGCTTCAGGAAAGTCACCCTCACCAAGCCGACCTTCTGCCACTGCTGCAGCGACTTCGTCTGGGGTCTCATCGGCTTCCTGTGCGAAGGTAAGACCCGGCCTGGGAGACTGGCTCTCATGCAGGTCCGGTCCTCCAGACACACCTGCAGCTTTCTGAGGCATCTCTGCTCCAACACACCTGAGTCCAACGAGTGGCTGCTGGTGAGGGAGTCCAGCCATTTCATCCGCGCTGTTGGAGTCATGATGCATCTAAAAGTTGCAGGGCGGGAGTTCTGGAGGACCGAACCGAGCAGCCCGATCTAATGGATCAGCCTGTCAGACACAACCGAGGGCAAAGGGTCAGAGGGTTTCCTTCCTTCCTCCGTGTCTGTCCGTCGTCTCCATCAGTTCGGAGCTGCAGTCGAGTAGTTGGCTTGGCAACAGGAGCCGAGTGGGGATGCTGCGTGTGTGTGTGTGTGCGTGCGTGCGTGTGTGCGCGTGTGTGTGTGTGTGCGTGCGTGCGCGCGTGCGTGTGTGTGCGTGCGCGCGTGCGTGTGTGTCCTGGAGAATCACGTAGATAGGTAGGAGAGCTGTGATGTCATCGAGGGTTTCATCTGCCGCCATGATGTAATCAGAGGCCGGTTCTGATCCGGATGGTTCTGTGGGTCGGAGAGAGAACCGGATGCATTGTTAACCTTTCAGCCAGCTGATCTTCTGTGAACAGCTGAAAGTGCTGTATGGTGACCTCTGACCCCAGCTTCCTTGTTAGGAGCAAATGGGACAGAGGCCGATTCAGGAGTCCAGTTCGGGTAGAACCAGCAGTCTGTTAAAGGGGAAGGTACCGTCCAGTGCAGTCCTCCTCAGGCTGCTGTGTTCCTGATCCGACCGGTTCCGGTTCTTCCCAGAACCCAGATCTGCTCTATTTATATCCAATATTTGCATATTTCTCTCAACAAAAACATTGAAACTGAAATTCAAATCCATCCAGAGCTGACAGCCTCGCGTCACCATGGAAACCAGAGCCCACTGGCACTGTCAGAAGGGTCGTGACCTCTGAAGGGTCGCCGTTCCCTTCTGATTCTGATGAACTGAACTCTGACTGGAGAACAGCCATGATGCCAGAAAGTTAGACGGAAGGAAAAGCTTCATTCAGGCTGCAGAGAGAGGAAAGTGAAATATTTACTAGTCAGACTAACAGAGCTGGGATTTGAACCCAGGACAAGAAAAAATAATGTTATTCCAAATGAAATGAGCATTCAGGAATGGTTCACTGCAGCATTCCTCCATGCTTCACCCTGACCTTCATCTCCTCCTCCTCCTCCTCAGTGTGTAACTTCATGTGTCATGAGAAATGCCTGAAGACGCTGCGGACGGCGTGCGCCTGCATGGCTCCGTCTCAGGTTCAGGTGAGTCTCCAGAGCAGCACAGAAATCAGTCTCAGAACGCTTTTCATATCTCACCTTCAAAATGGCCGCCATGTTTGAGCCTTTAAGACCAACTATCACTGATAAATGTTCTGTTTTCATGATGAACTTTATTCACATCATGTTTTCCACTTTGGTCAATGTCTTCAGACAACTTTAAAGTCATAAAATTAAAACCTGATGAGATGAAGATGTGAGACACAGGCCGTCGTTTTGATGGTTAGCATTAGCTTAGGCTAATTTTCTAATGTGTTTAGCAGGTCAGTGTTGAAGGTCAGTGTTAGCATAGTTGAAGTTGATGTCTAGCGACATCCAGCTGTTAGTGGTTAGTGAACCTAAGTTTCTGTTTGCGGTGGCACAACTGTTCTCTTAATCATTAGCATTAGCTTCTGCTAACATTTTAATGTGCTTGACAATTTAATGATAACTTCCTCCATTTTTTAAAATGTATTTAGCTGATTAGTTATTTTCCACCAATTATTTTTATGTATTAACAGATTTAATGTTAGCTTCTGCTAAGCTGTTGTTGTGATATTGGTTTGGGGTTAGCTTCCACTAATTCTTTTATGTGTTTAGCATTAGCTTCAGCTGTCTTGTTTATGTGTTTAGCGACTTAGCGTGGCTCCTGGTTGCCCCTGAGGTTCTGATGGAGATCAGAAAGTCCTGTAGCTCAGCGCCTGATGTGTCTGAGATCTGTTAGTCTACTTCTGATAATGAATGAAATGGTCATGAAAAGCTGCTTCTTGTTTTCTCAGCTGATATTAAACCAGCCAATCAGGAGCGAGTGTTACAGGTCTCTGTCTGCTGCCTCCTGCAGGTGCCAGTAGCTCACTGCTTCGGCCCGGCCGGTCAGAAGAAACGTTTCTGCTGCGTGTGCAGGAAGCAGACGGAGGGAAGCACGGCGCTGCGCTGTGAAGGTGGGACCAGTTCAGCCTGAAGCATCACCACCAGTCAGACCAGTTCCACCTGCTGGTACAACCAGTATGGTGACTTCAGAGCTCTAATGGGAATTAAGAGCAGCGATGCTGCTGGTCTGAGATGATTAACATCATGCTGGGAAATGTTTGTGCAGACGACCTGGTCTCCAACAGCCGGCCTTTGACGAGGCCAGATATCTGGACCGTCATCTATATTTACTGAAAGATCAGTTGAAGAAATGAAAGGAGAGATTAGATCTTCCTCTCTGTGCGGCTCTGACGGCCGCTCTGTCTCCGCCGTCCTCACGCCGCCTGCCTCTGATAAACTACTTCCTGTCTTCCAGTGTGTGAGCTACATGTCCACGTCGACTGCGTCCCCTTCAGCTGCGCAGACTGTCGCTGCTGCCACCTGGACCAGAACCTGCAGCAGGTAAAACAGAACCGTGACAGAACTGGGGTCTTAAAGTTTTTTCTGAGTGGGGCTGGGGCCCCATGGCCACCTCCTGGCTCCGCCCCTGAACTTGTTCAGTGATGTCCAAACTCCAGCTGCATAGCAAGACTCTTAATTATCAGGCGCGATTAAATCTGTTTTTGATTTAAACATTACTGGAGATTTGTGGCCCTGCTTTCCAGAACAAAAAATCAAATATTAATGATACTCGGGACGCTCCAATCAGGTTCCGGTACCAACCATTCATGAGGCCGATCACTGACCATCACCTGGATTGGCTGTTAATTTTTGGCTTTAGGTATAAATGATACTATGTGATCCGGAAAAATTAAAAAATGATCTGGCAGCAAATTCACATAATTTAGACATAAAACATGCAAAATACTTGCAGGCATGAAACAGCAGCTATTCAGTCAAAATGAGTGAAAAACCTGCGACCAGTGAAATAATATCTAACAGTAAGGTTAGTAAGTAAGCAAAGTTTATTGATAAAACTTTTCACAGACATAAAATCACAAAGCGCCGTATGACAGAAATCAACCTTGAAACCCTATTAAATATAAAACCAACAGAAGCAATAATAAAATCCAGAGATAAAAGCCTGAGAAAATAAAAATGTTTTTTGTTGCTTTTTAAAAACCTCCAGAGTCAGAAAACAGAGCCACAGCTGTTCTGCAGCCTGGGGGCCACCGACTAAAGGGCCCGGGGCCTTTTGGTTTTTAACCGTGTCCGTGGAGCAACCAGGAGATTCAGAGTCTGAGAACGAAGCAGAAAGTTTAGTTAAAACCTGCAGAGATAACCAGCAGGAGCCTGGGAGCTTTAAAGGAATCAGTCGGGAGCCGGAGGAGAGACAGGAAGGACTGAGGCTCAGGACACGAGTTCCAGTTATCATCCAGCCTCAGCTCCAGATCAGCTCCAGCCTCAGCTCCAGATCAGCTCCAGATCAGCTCCAGATCAGCTCCAGATCAGCTCCAGATCAGCTCTGGAGACCATCGCTCTGATTTCAGAAAAGTATCTTAAATGAAAGAAACAGGAAACGGCTTTGATGTGAGTCGAAGCCTGATGATGAATCAAATGTGGAGTTTTTACCTTTGATTTTAGGAAGGATCCAGTTTTCTGGTGGATATTGTGGTACAGGTGATTGGGAGCAATAACCAGTTTCTGTCTTACTGGTGTTTCAAACTGATTGGCTAGCTGAGTATTGCTGGTTCTGATTGGTTGGTTCTGACTGAGCTGAGTAAATGTGCAGAACACAGAGACCAGGAGATCCATTCTCTTTTTCAGAAATGATCTGTCTTATGTCAGGACAGCGAAAGTTTTCAAACATCTGTAAAATATTTGGTGTGTTTGTTGGAGTTTCCTGCTGCAGCTTTCAGCAGCTTTACGTTCACAGCAGCTAGTTTTCCTGCAGCCAGGCTCCGCCAGCTGTTTGCTGTTGAATCAGACGGGTTGTGATGGCGGATTCTGTCGTGCTTCATCCTGGGGCGGCTCCGCAGCATGATGCTGCCGCCGCCATGCAAACGACTCCAGTCTGAACATAAAAACATTTAAAAACTAGATATTTGTCTTTTAATGTAGCAAGTTTTAATCAGTGGTTTACTTTTTATAGAAAGTTCACAGCAGCTCAAAGTTCTTTGTTATATCAAAACACCAAAATAAAAAGTCCTAAAACATTATTCAGTCGATGATTTCAGAACAAACTTCACATCTTGTCTTCATTAAAACCATCAATACATCAAATGTATTGATCAGTGCTTCATATCTAATGAATCTTATTTTTATTCTGGATGAAAACGAACTCGCCGTTTTGATCTGCAATAAATACAATTAAAAACTATTTATGTTTTTAGGTGAGAACTAATGACTGGGCCCTGGTTCTGCTGCCTGTAGCAGTGATGTTCTGGTTCTGGTTCTGACCCACAGGAGTCGCTGCAGCACCATTGGAGGGAGGGCGACCCGGCGTCGGCGCGCTGCGAGTTCTGCCGCCGCTCCTGCGGTTCCTCTGAGGTTCTGTCCGGGTTGAGGTGCGAGTGGTGCGGCGTCACGGTGAGTCCAGCTGCTCTAGAACCCGCCGCACCAGAACCGCCGCGGTCCAAACGCTGTCCTCTGTCCCCCCTGCAGAGCCACGCGTCCTGCTGCCACCGCCTCCCGGCAGAGTGCGGCCTGGGGCGGCTCCGCAGCATGATACTGCCACCGCCGTGCGTCCGACTCCAGTCCAGGAACTTCAGCAAGATGCAGTGCTACCGGATCGCCGAGAGCGGCAGCCAGGACCGCGGTGAGGGGGATTACTTCCTGTATTAGTCTGCTGAATTAATACCAAAACATTAACTTTAATCTTAATTTAAAAAGCAAATCATCTTAATCTTACTTGGAAAAAAGACTAATTTGCTTAATTACTATGTTTTCTTTGTTGCTGTTGTTTTTAGAAGCCGTGAAGCTAAGCTAACCTGTCAATAGTCATTTAACTGCATAAATCAGTTTCTGTTCCAATAAAACTGATGCAGATAAAACCGTTTAGAATTGTTTTAAATGAATCTTCAATTTGTTTCCATTCAAGGTTTAAACAGAATCTCAACCTTTTTTTTTTTTTTTTTTTTTTTTTTTTTTTTTAATGAATCTTTATTGAGAAACAGAAGACAAAACAATACAAATACAATAATGACTTCCAGCAGGGGTTATATACATAGACAGTACATCCCCATAATATTACATGAACAATTTTTTTTTTTTTTTAAACAAGGTAATTACAAACAAATAAGGCAATTACATTAGTGCAATTCTGTATAAGACATATCTAGTAGAGGCATATTTAAAGTGGAAATATAAAGTAACATTGACAATAAGAGATTAGTATAACAATTAGTAATAGTAACAGTAACTAACAAAGGCAGCAAGGGGATTCATAAATTAGGATTAATATACATCAGTGGGCAATTCCATTAATATTTCAGTCAGGGATTCATAAGAGTCAATACAATTCAAAGCTTTCATATATAACTGAAATTCAGATAAAAAGATGTTAAAGACTGGGGATGATCTCAGCACTCTTTGTTTATGAATAAAGAATTTTGCCAAACAAAATATTAAGTTACAACAAAGTTCCATAGTTTTGTTTATTAATAATACTCCAAAAGTTACCATATCTCTAGAAATAGATTCAGGAAGTGTGAATTTGGAACTGATCCATCTTTCTAAGCAAATCCAAAATGTTTTGGTTTGGTTGCATTCATAGAAGATGTGGTCAATCGTTTCAATATCTCGTTCACAAAAGGAGCACTTATTGTCATCAATATTAAATCGATTTTTTAATAATTCTTTTGAAGGGTAAATTGCATTTAAAATTTTAAAGTGTGTTTCTTTAGCTTTAGGTTGAATAGGGAGTTTAAGATAAAGGGATCTTAACCTCTCAATTGATTTATATCAAACTTGCAAAGAATGTTATTTCTATTTATTTTCCCAGGGAACAAAGTATTGTTTAGACAGTTTCTAATTGTGTGGTTATCAAACTTTTGGTCAGTGAATGAGATTCCATTAATAAATAAATCGGGTAATTGTGGGGTAATCGGATTATATGTTATCAAATTTTTAACTTGGTTAATAAATTGGTTCGGAAAGGCATTGACTAATTTGGTAAATTCAGCTCTTGGGGGGAAGAATTGATATTGTTCACATAGTTGTTCATAGTTTAACATGCAACCTTTAGCATCCATTAAGTGTATAATGGACCAAATATTCTTCTTCATCCAATCCTTGTAAAATAAGGATTTACCGCGATGTAATATGAATCTGTTATTCCATATGATAGAGTGTGGCGAGTAGTTATGTACATAGAGCATTTTCCAGTATAGTAATACTTGTTTATGGAACTCTGATAGTTTAATTGATAATTTATGAATATTGAAATCAGCTAGAAGTACAAGTTTTAAACCACCAATTTTGTTAAATACATAATTAGGGACGCAATACCAAAATATTGAGAATTTTTAACCCAGGATTTCAACCAATTAATCTTAAGGGTTCCGTTAAGGCTTTCAAAGTCAATTACTTTCAGACCGCCATCTTTGATTTCTTTCACCATATGACTTTTCCGTAGGTAGTGTGGCCTGTTCCTCCAAATAAAGTTCATGTTCATTTGGTTAATAGTTTTAGTTATACTATTTGGGATTGCAGTACTATAGGTTGAGTAAATTAATCTTGATAAACTTTCCATTTTCGTAAGATAAATGCGTCCTAAGATAGAGAGGTCTCGTTGGAGCCATGAGTTAAGTTTGGATTTACATTTTTTAACCTTGTTTTCAATATTTAAAGTTGTTACCTGGGTTTTGGTTATTATAGTGCCCAAATATTTAATTTCAGATTTGATTGGAATGCTGGATATTTCTTTTAGGGGAGTGTCATGGATGGCTATAAGTTCACATTTTTTTAGATTTAGTGTTAATCCGAAGCCTCAGAGAAAAATTTTATTTTATCAATTACAATTGGAACCTGTTTGTCATTTTTTAAGAAAACGGTGGTGTCATCTGCTAACTGGCTAATGATTAATTCTGTACCAAAAACATCTAATTTCTCAATGTCTGCACAGTTTTTAAGATAGATTGCTAACATTTCTGCAACTAAATTAAATAGATATGGGGATGGACACCCTTGAGGAATTCCAACATTAATGTTAAATCTGGCTGTGGTGCCTTTAGGTAGTAATACACAACTATTAGTGTTTTGATATAAACCTCTAATTAAGTTAATAAAATTGGCTCCAAAACCAAAATGTTCAAGAACTGAGAATAAGAATTGATGTTCCACCGAGTCAAAGGCTTTATAAAAGTCAAGAAAAAGAAGAAAGCCATCGTCTTGGATTATGTCTCTATATTCAATCAGGTCCTTTACCAGCCTGATATTGTTGTGGATTGACCTTCCTTTTAAGAATCCAGATTGTGTTTCTGCAATAATGTTTGAGATTCCTGTTTGGAGACGCATGGTAAATACGTATGTTAGTAGTAATTTATAATCAGAATTTCTGAGTGTAATAGGTCTTCTATTTTCAATAAATCTAGGGTCTTTACCTGGTTTGGGGATACATATAATAATTCCTTGATTCATTGTAGTAGGTATAGAGTAATTTTTAAAGATATCTGTAAAAACATGAAGAAGTAACATTTTAAAGTCGTCCCAAAAGTGTTTATAAAAGTTTCCCGTAAGTCCATCTGGACCCGGTGCTTTATTTATTGATAAACGATTAACAGCCTTATCAAGTTCTTCTATTGTAATTTGCTTGTCACATGTTTTCTTGTAGTCATCCTCAATTTTAGGGATAAATGATTCAATTTGTTTTAAAAAATTGTTAGAATGTGATTCTGAAAACTTGGAGGTATATAATTTGTTATAGAATTTAAAAATTTCAGCTGATATTAATTCTTCATTGTCAGTTTCCATATCATTTATAATTAAGGATTTGATAGAGTTCTGTTGTTGTCTTTTTTTTTCCAGATTACAAAAATAGGCCGTGTTTTTTTCTCCTTCTTCAATCCATCTCGCTCTTGATCTAATAAAAGCCCCTTTGGCCCTCTGGATATACATTTCATCTAATTGGGGTTGGAGAATTCGAATTTTTTGTTTGTCTTCTATTGAAGGATTGGACTTATTGCAATATAAATTAAGTTGTTGTATAATATCTAGTTCTTTTCTTTGAATATCTTTTTTAATTTGTTTACTGAATAAGATAGAAAATTGTCTGATTTTATATTTTAAGAATTCCCATTTTTGACTCGGACTACTTAATTCATCAGAATTCTTAATATCTAGGATTAAATCTTTGATATTTTGACAGTAAGTATCATTTTTAAGGAGACTACAATTAAATTTCCAATATTTACTTGAATTTGATTTCCAGTCTTGAGGTTTCATTTGTAAAGAAATAAGACTATGGTCAGTCAACGGTGCAGCAGATATGTCTGAGTTGATTTTATTGGATAATAATTCGTTAGATACCAGCCAATAATCAAGTCTTGATTTGCTACTTGAGCTAAACCATGAAAATTGAGTACAGTTGGGATTTAAATGTCGCCATACGTCAATCAGATTTTGTTCACTGCAAAAATTGTTAAGAGTTATGTTAGGGTAACTTGAATTATGTCTAGAGGGCCATCTATCAAGGAATTCATCATAAACAAGATTGAGATCCCCACCAATTATAACATTTTTGGTTGAATAAAGTGATTTCAGGTGATCTAAGTTCAATGATATTTCCTCAAATAATAATTTGTTTTGGGTTTGGTTGTTATAACCATATATGTTTAACAAAATAAGAATTATGTTATCCAAACAGATAGTAAGAAATATCCAGTGACCAAATTCATCCATTTTATTGATAATATCTGACCTTTAAAGTTCTTAAGAAGAATAGCGACCCCTGCTGATCTTGAAGAACCATTACAGAAATAAACTTCATCTCCCCATTGTTTAGACCAAAAGACATTATCTTCCTGTTTAGAATGAGTTTCTTGTAAGAAAATTAAATTTGCATTTTGCCCTTTACAAAATAAAAATAAACTTTTCCTTTTAGTTAGATCTCTTAGGCCCCTTGCATTTATAGAAATGAACGAAATTTCACTTTTCAAGTTAAACATAAAAAAATCAACGACACAAGATAAAGTGTAGAACAGAATCGAGTGGGTTTACCTTAAAAGGATTGAACTATAAGTAGCAAAACTCCTGAACATAGAAAAATTATCTGAAGCCAGACATGTTATGTAGAACTATTGTGATCTTAAGGAACAACTCGTTGTCCATCGATAAAGGCATACGGACCTTTGAAAATCGCCTTTTTCCCAGCTCTCCGTGCTTGTTCCACTTTAGGCCATACTGCCAATCTTGCCTCCCGGTCTTCTTTGCTAAGGTCCTCCGAGACCCTGATGTTGAGCTCCCTGCAGATGGGGTGCTGTTTAGTGGATCTCCAGAGTTCATCCCTGAAGATTCGACCTGTAAACTGGACAATAATCTGCCGTGGGCGGTTGGTGTTGGTCGGGCCGAGGCGGTGTACCGTGTCGAGAATAAAGTCCATCTTCTCTTTCCAGTGAGGCATGATCTGCTTAACAACATTCGCAACTTTCTGTCTTGTGTCTTCCTCCTTTTCCTCTTTTAATCCGTTAATGCGTAGATTCCATCTTCGTTTAACGCTCTGATTCTGCCGCTTTTCTTTCAATCTCCTGAACCTTCTTTGTCAGCTCGGCATTTATAGTTTTAAGCTGTGTAATCTCAACTTCCTGTTTTACGATTGTATCTTTGCAGTCCTGAATTTCGGCGTTGTTAAACTCCACTGCTTTAGCAATATCTGCAATGGAGAGCGTGTTTCGTTTCATTTCTTCTCCAAAGTTTAGCATCATTTTCTGTAGATTCTCAACTGCTTCCAAATTTTGGTATTGGATGCGCCTGAACTGATCTCCTCGTCCCCTTTTGTTTTCTTCTGCGGTACAGGAGGTTTGCATGGCGATGTTAAGGCGTTTTTAGTTCCTTTAGCATCAGTATCCATACAGTAGTCATGAGTAATCAAGGCCTTCTTAGCTTTGCTGTTAGCCATTATCCACGTTGTTTTCCTTTTAGCTTAGAGTTGTTTTCCCGTTATCAATGGACGTTTCAATTCAGTATTGTCATTTTTAACTTACGAATATGGTCCTTTTGGTGTCTCTTCTGGACTTCCAAGATGTTTAATAATTTATTTTGGGAGTTCGCTACCCAGAGCTCATCACAGCGCGTCCGCTCTCTCCGCCATCTTTTTCGCCCCCAGAATCTCAACCTTTGCAACAGAAAATAGTTTCTGAATCAAATCAAGTCGCTCACTGAGCGTCGCCTCCATGTGGGTTCAGTTGATCTCGGGGGGCGGGGCCTGATGACGTCATCAGTGAGTTCCACCACTTCCTGTGATGTTTCTGAAACCATAGAAGAAAAGCCACAAACGTTCAGATGGCTTCCTGTCAGCAGCGCCGCGGATCAGAACCGAGACACAGAAACACCAGAAAATTTTATCTGAAAATAACGAATCAAGTGACGAATTACATCAAAATCCACACAAACAAAAAACTATAAAAATTGGCAATAAATTCAAATGGATTAAAAAAAATGTAATGATAATCCAATAAATGTATTTATTTACATAAATTCATCTTATTTCTTTATAAAAAGTTAATTAGTTTATAAATTTTAATGGAAATATAATTCAGTAATAATTATTCTGAAATAAAAACCATGAACATCATAAAATAATAGTCAGCAAAAATCTCCCAGAAAAAAGTCTTGAAAGAATTTTATTTCCAATTTAAATGTATAATTTTAACCAGTCCAGACTATTTAAAATAAAATGTAAGTTTTGTTCCAGTTCCATCTCTGTTTGTTCATAAACTGGTTTTAATGGATCCGCTCCAGTTGACCTTTGACCTTCGGGATGTTTGTGAACGTTTCGACTTTCTGTGGTTTCCATCAGATAACTGGGATGAAGCCGAACCAGCAGCTGCTGCGTCCAGAGAGCTCCAGTCTGCAGCTCCAGAGACCAGTGAGACCAGTTACCACACCAGTGCCAGACTTCTACTGGTTTAACTGGTTCCAGCATCCAGGGGTCAGAAGTAGTCTGACTCTGGCTGTCGGGTTGAAAGGTCACACTCTTCCTCTGTGGTTTCAGGTAAGCTGGTCGTCAAGGTGTTTGACGGCGATGATGCGTTGAGGCGCGGCTTCTTCCGATTGGTTCCCAGCTGCCGAGGCGTGAAGAACGAGGAAGTGGTGAGCCTGATGCTGGGAGCAGCCATGTTGTTTCTGTCGGTGACATTAGCCTGACCTCTGACCTCGGCTGCTCTCCGTCCTGCAGGAGGCGGCGCTGAGGGCCTTCTACCTGCCCGGCGAGCCTCATCACTTCCACCTGGAGAACGGCGCCGCCGTGCAGCGTCACCATAGCGGCGACTTCCAGAACGCCGGCGACGCCAGGGTGCTGAGGGCTAAGCTACGGCGTGATGATGTCATCAAGGTGCACGCTGCATGGAGCAGGTGGGGTCATCCTGAACCCTGTTTGACCCCTGAGGGCTGGTTGCCATGGATACGCCTTGCGTTTCAGGTGGAGTGTGGCGTCAGTGGAAGTGTCCGAGACGAGCACAGCGGCGTCCGTCCTGAGCGACGCTCTGCTGCAGCTGGACAGACAGGTGAGCTGTTACCTGTATCATCTTTACTTGTATTAATTTATGCAACATGTTGTCCATTTTGATCCAAGTTGCCTTCAGTTGTCATTGAAATGCTGCATATATGAAACGTAACCTGGTCTCTGTCTCTTTAAAAACTCCTGCTCTTCCTGAAGCTCCGCCTCCAGGAAGTATTCCCAACATTGCTCCTCTTTAACCCTTTCATGTTTTTACTCTGAGCAGCAGCTCCTACAATGAGCTCAGCAGCTGTTTGCTAATTACTGCTGGCTAGTCTGAAGGAGCTGATTGGTGGCGTTTCAGCTGATTGATCTGTTTCAGGGCGAAGACGCGTCCAGCTTCAGTCTGCAGGAAGTCTGCATGAGCAGCAAGCAAGGTGAGCAGCTGGGTGTGTCTCTAACTGTGTGTGTCTCTAACTGTGTGTCTCTAACTGTGTCTCTAACTGTGTGTCTCTAACTGTGTCTCTAACTGTGTGTCTAACTGTGTCTCTAACTGTGTGTCTCTAACTGTGTGTCTCTAACTGTGTCTCTAACTGTGTCTCTAACTGTGTGTCTCTAACTGTGTCTCTAACTGTGTCTCTAACTGTGTGTCTCTAACTGTGTGTCTAACTGTGTGTGTCTAACTGTGTGTCTCTAACTGTGTCTCTAACTGTGTGTCTCTAACTGTGTCTCTAACTGTGTCTCTAACTGTGTGTCTCTAACTGTGTGTCTAACTGTGTGTCTAACTGTGTGTCTCTAACTGTGTGTCTCTAACTGTGTGTCTAACTGTGTGTCTAACTGTGTGTCTCTAACTGTGTGTGTCTCTAACTGTGTGTCTCTAACTGTGTGTGTCTCTAACTGTGTGTCTCTAACTGTGTCTCTAACTGTGTGTCTCTAACTGTGTGTCTAACTGTGTGTCTAACTGTGTGTCTCTAACTGTGTGTCTCTAACTGTGTCTCTAACTGTGTGTCTCTAACTGTGTGTCTCTAACTGTGTCTCTAACTGTGTGTGTCTCTAACTGTGTGTCTAACTGTATGTCTCTAACTGTGTGTGTCTCTAACTGTGTGTCTCTAACTGTATGTCTCTAACTGTGTGTCTCTAACTGTGTGTGTCTAACTGTGTCTCTAACTGTGTGTCTCTAACTGTGTCTCTAACTGTGTGTCTCTAACTGTATGTCTCTAACTGTGTGTCTCTAACTGTGTGTCTCTAACTGTGTCTCTAACTGTGTGTCTCTAACTGTGTGTGTCTCTAACTGTGTGTCTCTAACTGTGTCTCTAACTGTGTGTCTCTAACTGTGTCTCTAACTGTGTGTCTCTAACTGTGTCTCTAACTGTATGTCTCTAACTGTGTGTCTCTAACTGTGTCTCTAACTGTGTGTCTCTAACTGTGTCTCTAACTGTATGTCTCTAACTGTGTGTCTCTAACTGTGTCTCTAACTGTGTGTCTCTAACTGTGTCTCTAACTGTGTGTCTCTAACTGTGTCTCTAACTGTGTGTGTCTCTAACTGTGTGTCTCTAACTGTGTGTCTCTAACTGTGTGTCTAACTGTGTCTCTAACTGTGTATGTCTCTAACTGTGTGTGTCTCTAACTGTGTGTCTCTAACTGTATGTCTCTAACTGTGTGTCTCTAACTGTGTGTGTCTAACTGTGTCTCTAACTGTGTGTCTCTAACTGTGTCTCTAACTGTGTGTCTCTAACTGTATGTCTCTAACTGTGTGTCTCTAACTGTGTGTCTCTAACTGTGTCTCTAACTGTGTGTCTCTAACTGTGTGTGTCTCTAACTGTGTGTCTCTAACTGTGTGTCTCTAACTGTGTCTCTAACTGTGTGTCTCTAACTGTGTCTCTAACTGTGTGTCTCTAACTGTGTCTCTAACTGTGTGTCTCTAACTGTGTCTCTAACTGTGTGTCTCTAACTGTGTGTCTCTAACTGTGTCTCTAACTGTGTGTCTCTAACTGTGTCTCTAACTGTGTCTCTAACTGTGTGTCTCTAACTGTGTCTCTAACTGTGTGTCTCTAACTGTGTCTCTAACTGTGTGTCTAACTGTGTGTCTCTAACTGTGTGTCTCTAACTGTGTGTCTCTAACTGTGTCTCTAACTGTGTCTCTAACTGTGTCTCTAACTGTGTGTCTAACTGTGTGTCTCTAACTGTGTGTCTCTAACTGTGTGTCTCTAACTGTATGTCTCTAACTGTGTGTCTCTAACTGTGTGTCTCTAACTGTGTCTCTAACTGTGTCTCTAACTGTGTGTCTCTAACTGTGTCTCTAACTGTGTGTCTAACTGTGTGTCTCTAACTGTGTGTCTCTAACTGTGTCTCTAACTGTGTCTCTAACTGTGTGTCTCTAACTGTGTCTCTAACTGTGTGTCTCTAACTGTGTCTCTAACTGTGTGTCTCTAACTGTGTGTCTCTAACTGTGTCTCTAACTGTGTGTCTCTAACTGTGTGTCTCTAACTGTGTCTCTAACTGTGTCTCTAACTGTGTGTCTCTAACTGTGTCTCTAACTGTGTCTCTAACTGTGTGTCTCTAACTGTGTCTCTAACTGTGTGTCTCTAACTGTGTCTCTAACTGTGTGTCTAACTGTGTGTCTCTAACTGTGTGTCTCTAACTGTGTCTCTAACTGTGTCTCTAACTGTGTCTCTAACTGTGTGTCTAACTGTGTGTCTCTAACTGTGTGTCTCTAACTGTGTGTCTCTAACTGTATGTCTCTAACTGTGTGTCTCTAACTGTGTGTCTCTAACTGTGTCTCTAACTGTGTCTCTAACTGTGTGTCTCTAACTGTGTCTCTAACTGTGTGTGTAACTGTGTGTCTCTAACTGTGTGTCTCTAACTGTGTGTCTCTAACTGTATGTCTCTAACTGTGTGTCTCTAACTGTGTGTGTCTCTAACTGTGTGTCTCTAACTGTGTGTCTCTAACTGTGTGTGTCTCTAACTGTGTCTCTAACTGTGTGTCTAACTGTGTCTCTAAATGTGTGTCTCTAACTGTGTGTGTCTCTAACTGTATGTCTCTAACTGTGTGTGTCTCTAACTGTGTGTCTCTAACTGTGTGTCTAACTGTGTCTCTAAATGTGTGTCTCTAACTGTGTGTCTCTAACTGTGTCTCTAACTGTGTGTCTCTAACTGTGTCTCTAACTGTGTCTCTAACTGTGTCTCTAACTGTGTGTCTCTAACTGTGTGTCTCTAACTGTGTGTCTCTAACTGTGTCTCTAACTGTGTCTCTAACTGTGTGTCTCTAACTGTGTCTCTAACTGTGTGTCTAACTGTGTGTCTCTAACTGTGTCTCTAACTGTGTGTCTAACTGTGTGTCTCTAACTGTATGTCTCTAACTGTGTGTCTCTAACTGTGTCTCTAACTGTGTGTCTAACTGTGTGTCTCTAACTGTATGTCTCTAACTGTGTGTCTCTAACTGTGTCTCTAACTGTGTCTCTAACTGTGTGTCTCTAACTGTGTCTCTAACTGTGTGTCTAACTGTGTGTCTCTAACTGTGTGTCTCTAACTGTGTGTCTCTAACTGTATGTCTCTAACTGTGTGTCTCTAACTGTGTGTCTCTAACTGTGTGTCTCTAACTGTGTGTCTCTAACTGTGTGTCTCTAACTGTGTGTCTAACTGTGTCTCTAAATGTGTGTCTCTAACTGTGTGTGTCTCTAACTGTATGTCTCTAACTGTGTGTCTCTAACTGTGTGTGTCTCTAACTGTGTGTCTAACTGTGTCTCTAAATGTGTGTCTCTAACTGTGTCTCTAACTGTGTGTCTCTAACTGTGTCTCTAACTGTGTCTCTAACTGTGTGTCTCTAACTGTGTGTCTCTAACTGTGTGTCTCTAACTGTGTGTGTCTCTAACTGTGTGTCTCTAACTGTATGTCTCTAACTGTGTGTCTCTAACTGTGTGTGTCTCTAACTGTGTGTCTCTAACTGTGTCTCTAACTGTGTGTGTCTCTAACTGTGTGTCTCTAACTGTGTGTCTCTAACTGTGTGTCTAACTGTGTGTCTAACTGTGTCTCTAAATGTGTGTCTCTAACTGTGTGTCTAACTGTGTCTCTAACTGTGTCTCTAACTGTGTCTCTAACTGTGTGTCTCTAACTGTGTGTCTCTAACTGTGTGTCTCTAACTGTATGTCTCTAACTGTGTGTCTCTAACTGTGTGTCTCTAACTGTGTGTCTCTAACTGTGTGGCTCTAACTGTGTCTCTAACTGTGTGTCTCTAACTGTGTGTCTCTAACTGTGTGTCTAACTGTGTCTCTAACTGTGTGTCTCTAACTATGTGTGTCCTGCAGTTCAGAGACAAACCCTGAGTCCTCAGGAGAAGATGTTGGATAAACTGCAGGAGATCAGGAAAGTGAGTCGGATGGAGCTTCAGGTTGTGTTGCTGAGATCTCGGCTGTGAAGGTTGACGGTTGCTCTTGTTGCGGTTGCTGCAGCTCTCCCTGCGACAGATGAACCAGACCCGTTTCTATGTAGTCCAGAACCGGAACCCGGCTTTGCAGGTCGGCCTCCTGATCACAGAACTGCCCCCCCTGCTGACCAAAGAGGAGTACTGCGGCCTGCTGGAGGAACATCTGGACTTCAAGGGTGAGTCTGCTCTCTGCAGCGCCCCTACTGGCGGACAGAGACCTGCAGGTTAATTATTAACAATCAGCTCAGGACAACATTAATAACTGATGAGTCAGCATCTGGTTACCATGACGACAGCTATTATTATTGTTATTATTATTATTATTATTATTATTATTATTATTATTATTATTGTTATTATTATTATTATTATTGTTATTATTATTGTTATTATTATTATTATTATCGTTATTATCATCGTTATTTTATTCCTGCTTCTATTTTCTGCGTGTTTTTGCCCGTCAGTCTTCGTTGCTTTGACTCGTTTTTCTCCGTCTCTCTGCAGATCACCTGGTTGCACTAACTCACCTCTATGAAGCTCAAGGTGAGGCTGTTACCATGGAAACCACCTTTACATCAGGGCTTCAAGACAAAACCTGAATGAACCCGAAGTGATGTGTGTGTGTTTCTCTCTGTGTGTGTGTTTCTCTCTGTGTGTGTTTCTCTGTGTGTGTGTTTCTCTGTGTGTGTGTTTCTCTCTGTGTGTGTTTCTCTGTGTGTGTGTTTCTCTGTGTGTGTGTTTCTCTCTGTGTGTGTTTCTCTCTGTGTGTGTTTCTCTCTGTGTGTGTTTCTCTCTGTGTGTGTTTCTCTCTGTGTGTGTTTCTCTGTGTGTGTTTCTCTCTGTGTGTGTGTTTTCTCTCTGTGTGTGTTTCTCTCTGTGTGTGTTTCTCTCTGTGTGTGTGTTTCTCTCTGTGTGTGTTTCTCTGTGTGTGTGTTTCTCTCTGTGTGTGTGTTTCTCTGTGTGTGTTTCTCTCTCTGTGTGTGTTTCTCTCTGTGTGTGTTTCTCTCTGTGTGTGTGTTTCTCTCTGTGTGTGTTTCTCTGTGTGTGTGTTTCTCTCTGTGTGTGTGTTTCTCTGTGTGTTTTTCTCTCTGTGTGTGTGTTTCTCTCTGTGTGTGTGTTTCTCTCTGTGTGTGTGTTTCTCTCTGTGTGTGTGTTTCTCTCTGTGTGTGTTTCTCTGTGTGTGTTTCTCTGTGTGTGTGTTTCTCTCTGTGTGTGTTTCTCTGTGTGTGTGTTTCTCTGTGTGTGTTTCTCTGTGTGTGTGTTTCTCTCTGTGTGTGTGTTTCTCTCTGTGTGTGTGTTTCTCTCTGTGTGTGTGTTTCTCTCTGTGTGTGTGTTTCTCTCTGTGTGTGTTTCTCTGTGTGTGTGTTTCTCTGTGTGTGTGTTTCTCTCTGTGTGTGTTTCTCTGTGTGTGTGTTTCTCTCTGTGTGTGTTTCTCTGTGTGTGTGTTTCTCTCTGTGTGTGTGTTTCTCTCTGTGTGTTTCTCTCTGTGTGTGTTTCTCTCTGTGTGTGTTTCTCTCTGTGTGTGTTTCTCTCTGTGTGTGTTTCTCTCTGTGTGTGTTTCTCTGTGTGTGTGTTTCTCTGTGTGTGTGTTTCTCTCTGTGTGTGTTTCTCTGTGTGTGTGTTTCTCTGTGTGTGTTTCTCTCTGTGTGTGTTTCTCTGTGTGTGTGTTTCTCTCTGTGTGTGTTTCTCTGTGTGTGTGTTTCTCTCTGTGTGTGTTTCTCTCTGTGTGTGTGTTTCTCTCTGTGTGTGTTTCTCTCTGTGTGTGTGTTTCTCTCTGTGTGTGTGTTTCTCTCTGTGTGTGTGTTTCTCTCTGTGTGTGTTTCTCTGTGTGTGTGTTTCTCTGTGTGTGTGTTCTCTCTGTGTGTGTTTCTCTGTGTGTGTGTTTCTCTGTGTGTGTTTCTCTGTGTGTGTGTTTCTCTCTGTGTGTGTGTTTCTCTCTGTGTGTGTGTTTCTCTCTGTGTGTGTTTCTCTCTGTGTGTGTTTCTCTCTGTGTGTGTTTCTCTGTGTGTGTGTGTGTTTCTCTCTGTGTGTGTGTGTGTGTGTGTGTTTCTCTCTGTGTGTGTGTGTGTGTGTGTGTTTCTCTCTGTGTGTGTGTGTGTGTGTTTCTCTGTGTGTGTGTGTGTGTGTGTGTTTCTCTCTGTGTGTGTTTCTCTCTGTGTGTGTTTCTCTCTGTGTGTGTTTCTCTCTCTGTGTGTGTTTCTCTGTGTGTGTGTGTGTGTGTTTCTCTCTGTGTGTGTGTGTGTGTGTTCTCTGTGTGTGTGTGTGTTTCTCTGTGTGTGTTTCTCTCTGTGTGTGTTTCTCTGTGTGTGTTTCTCTCTGTGTGTGTTTCTCTCTGTGTGTGTTTCTCTCTGTGTGTGTTTCTCTCTTTGTGTGTGTTTCTCTCTCTGTGTGTGTTTCTGTGTGTGTGTGTGTGTGTGTGTTTCTCTCTGTGTGTGTTTCTCTCTGTGTGTGTTTCTCTCTCTGTGTGTGTTTCTCTGTGTGTGTGTGTGTGTGTTTCTCTCTGTGTGTTTCTCTCTGTGTGTGTTTCTGTGTGTGTGTGTGTGTGTGTGTGTTTCTCTGTGTGTGTGTGTGTGTGTGTGTGTTTCTCTGTGTGTGTGTTTCTCTGTGTGTGTTTCTCTCTGTGTGTGTTTCTCTCTCTGTGTGTGTTTCTCTGTGTGTGTGTGTGTGTGTGTTTCTCTCTGTGTGTGTGTGTGTGTGTTTCTCTCTGTGTGTGTTTCTCTCTGTGTGTGTTCTCTCTGTGTGTTTCTCTGTGTGTGTGTGTGTGTGTGTGTTTTCTCTCTGTGTGTGTGTGTGTGTGTGTGTTTCTCTGTGTGTGTGTGTGTTTCTCTCTGTGTGTGTGTGTGTGTGTTTCTCTCTGTGTGTGTTTCTCTCTGTGTGTGTTTCTCTGTGTGTGTGTGTGTGTTTTCTCTGTGTGTGTTTCTCTGTGTGTGTGTTTCTCTCTGTGTGTGTTTCTCTCTGTGTGTGTGTGTGTGTGTTTCTCTCTGTGTGTGTTTCTCTCTGTGTGTGTGTTTCTCTGTGTGTGTTTCTCTCTGTGTGTGTGTGTGTTTTCTCTGTGTGTGTTTCTCTCTG